ATTTCCGCGTCGACCTCCTGCAGGCCGCATTGGTGGTCTAGGTATCGCCTTTGTGCCCGGGGCGCCCCAGGGGGTGTGTGGGGCTCGGACAAGATCAAGAGGCCACAGGAGGGGGAACAGGGGAGGGGAGCGGAGGGGACGCGAGGAGAAGGGCAGCGAAAAGGGAAAGAGAGAGGGGAGGATGGAGAGAAAGAGAGAGAGAGAGAGAGAGCGGGGAGGGGAAGGGAATGGGGGGAGCGGGAGGGGGGCGAGGACAGGGGCCAGAGAGAGGAGGGAAGCAGCCACGCAGGAGGCGCACCGGGGCGCACGAGGCCCAGGTCCGTCCGCGCCGCCGCGTCCCGGCCAGAAGCGGGGCCACGCGCCTCTCCAGCTCAGCCACCGTTGCAGGGCTCGTTTCGATTCCTCCGATTCGATTCGATTCGATTTCGATTGCTTCCGATTCCGATTCGATCCGACTTGGGATTCCGATTTGGGTTCCGATTTCTTATTGGAGGCATCTCAGCCTGCCGATTTCTGCCGATTCGATTTTTCCCGACTCGGCTGCCGATTTCCGCCGATCCGAATCATTTCGATCGCCGATCCGACTTATCGATTCGATTCCGGGCTCTCCAGCCGTTGCCACAAACTCGATATAACCCGCGTCGCCAGGCTGGAGGCGCAGCAGCCGGCACAGCACGCCTGCTGACGGCCCTGGTGAGCATACCCAGTTCCTTGCCGCCACCGGTGCCACGCGAGCGCCACCCGACGCCCGGCAGCGAAGGACTGCATGAGCACAGCCTTCGAAGACCGTCCCGTCGCAGAGGACACAGCGCTGCACCCCCGCCGAAGCAACGACGACCATGCAGGTGAACAGTGCTAAGGTAGTCCGCACGCAAGCGCGCCTCGGCACGTTCTCCGAGCAGCACCTCCCAGGGTAGCGAGACTCCCGCGACATGGGACAAAGGATGCCCACTCGTCGGCCAGGCACTGGCATATGGCACTGGCGAGGCGTGTCTGCGCGCATCAGCCAGCCACCGTTCCCGGCAACTGGCAGCCAGCAGGGTGGCGCACACCGTAGCGTAGCCCGCGGCCGTGGCGCCGGGGGCGGGCCGCTCAGGCCAGTCAGGAAGGCCGAACTCGCGCAGGGTCGAGAGGCTCTGCGAAGCCCAGGCGCCCGTGCCCGCACTTTTTTTTGGTCGGCGGGTCGGGAGCGGGCCCCTTCCGGTCAAGAGCCAGGCGGGGCGCGCGAAGCCCTAATTGGGGAGACAGGGCGCGGACCCCCCGTGCCCGCACAGGCGCCCGGGAGAAACGCCTGCTTACAGAAGTCCGCGTGCGGGAGTTGCCACAAGCGGGCACGCCGCCGAGAAGCATCAAGAACCGCACAGGCAGCGCCGTCCAGCGACCAGCTCAGCTCCGGGGCCGCGGCCCCAGAGTTGCGCCAGCAAGCGCCCCCCGAGAGCGCCTTAGCCCAATGGTCATAAGACAGCCGTGGTGCGTCCAAAATACCAGGCGCCACACACCAAAGCCACCACGAGGCGGCCATGATACCGTCCCTCCTCCCTCCCTCCCGCCGCCCCCCCCCCTCCTCCTCCTCCTCCTCCGCCTCCTCCTCCTCCTCCTCATCCTCCTCCTCCTACCTCCTCCTCATCTTTCCCACCTCCTCTCTCCTCTCCCTCCCTCCTCCCTCCCTCCCTCCCTCCCTCCCCTCACTCCCTCTCTCTAAATGCCCTGCGCCCTCCTGCTCCCTGCTCCGGTGGGGGGGGGGGGGGGCGGAGTGCGTGGCCGCCGCCTCTTGACTGGACAGATCGCTCGCGCTCGGCGGCTCGAGGTGGCCCGAGGAACCCCACCGGCAAGCTCGGCCTCAGCGTTAACTCTTTCTCCGCGCCACGAGATTTAACGGGCGAAGAACGGTATAAAATAAACTTTTTCGCCGTCGGGGGCGCCTGTCCCTGGGCGGCTGGAGTTTGTACCCTTACGGTGGCACCGTAGGGGTATAAACTTCCCAGCCGCCCAGGGACAGGCGCCCCCGACAGCGAAACAGTTTATTTTATACCGTTCTTCGCTCGCTGGGAGATGGCGGCGCCGCGAGAAAGGGGGTGGGGGTGTCCACAGTTCAGGGGTTCCCGCGCGCTGCGCGCGGGAGGGGCGAGCGGGGAAGGGAGGGGAGGAGAGGGGGGTGAGGGTGGGTCGGGAGGGAAACACAGGCACAAACAAACGTCGATTCCCCGGGGAAACTTAGGAACATATGGGCAGTGGAGGGGGAAGCGGCAATCCCGAACATCTGGAAACATGATGGGGAAATCCTGGGATGTGTGTACATTTATTTGTGTGTCCCTGGGCGCCTTCAGGCGGGGTGAGCAGGAGCATAATGCTGATGCATGTATTTTCAGTGCTGACAGTGTGTCGTACTGTAGGGTCAGGGTATTCTTTCCGGGACACAGAGTGAACCGATCGGGCCCCCGTCGCTTGAGACACACCCGACAAATGCGAGGCGCTGGTTGGTTGGCTGGTTTGCTGGCTG